TTTGCACTAATTCATACCGTGCTGCACTGCAAAGGTATATGTGTACTGTCATTATTGTGTTTATTATTGTTTTCATTTCACGCTCTCTGTATAGCATAATATTTACCATACATTGTTCTCTACCTGTATTGAGTCCCTTATATATGTGTGTTGCATATACATATATTCAGTATTTGTATTTCATATCTATTCATTCATTCATTTGTCATCCATACTGTCATGCTGCAGTTTGCACCCAAGGCTTTCACCACCTGTACACTTGCGTTCATGGTATTGTGACAATAAAGTGATTTGATTTGAATTGGTTACATGTCTTTTGTTCATCAGTTGTGCAGTAGGGTGCTGCATAACAACTGCTCATTTTTTATGACATGGAAGAAGATTATGATAGGGACATGGATTTGAAGAAAACCAGGAGAGCTCTGAAAATTGGCAGGAAACTGGATGTGATTATTTGGTGCTCAAGACATTTCACCATGCGTGCATTTGGGTGGCTTCATCTGATTAAAATAACATGGTTTTAACATAACCCATTTTTATTTCTCTTGAATAAAATTTGTCTTAATACACTACTTTAGCTGTCTTTATGCTGTATCCTCCACTAAAGTATTGCACATGGTGTTGGATAATAAAGTATGGTGAATATTCTGTATTAGGGATGGTGTTTGGTAAATACACGATTTAATTTTGAAAACAATACACATAATTCCCATGAGTGTTTTAATTAAGACATGAACCTTTAGTCATATTAATGACATTCAGCTACATGAAGGCTGAAAGCTATATTAAGCTGGGCTCACACTACAGGAGTTTTAAAATCCTAACCGATTATGAAATCTGGTTGCAGCACACACATAAGGAGAATCTTTGCAGATTATCTTCCCTCAAATCTTAAACATGCACACACTACAAGATTTTAACATCGTGGCGCATCACACACTACAAGATATTATTAAGATTATCATGCCAGAGGGAGTGCCTGACGTGATCTCATGCAGCAGATCGTCATTGATATTTCAGTGATGTTTACATATGTTAGCTAGCCTGCTAGCTGCTTTCTACACTCACCCGGTACATTCAAAACTGAGGCGATTTGATTCCAGCACTTCTCTTTCTCCTTACGGTTGTGATACGTTTTCCACACATTATACAGACAGTCGTGTTACTATAGAACGTCGAGAAGCAGTTTCCTCCATCTCCACTATCTAACAGGGCCTTACAGCAGCTGTTTTGCGGTCCCGCATTGGCTATTGTGAAAGTACTGACGTAATCATCCCGATTTAAATCCTAAATATCAAACATGTTTGATATGATCGGGGCGGCCCAGATTTGTGTGCGAGCAGATCGGGAGGTGCAAGATTCAATCGGTGAACGCCTCACATTAGCAGATAATCCGCGCCGAAAACATCTTGACCGATCGAGGGGCTCTACAAGATTTTTGCTCAGATTCTCGGGAGGGGGAAATCGGGGCTAAATCGGGCTAAAAATCCTATAGTGTGAGCCAGGCTTAAATGATGATAAAATTGAGTTATATTTTTGTGTGGCCTTTAAGTATACTTACATACTTCCTTACGTTATGGGTTAAGTAAAGTCGATTACATTTTTCATTGTTCTGATACCTACTATATCAGCCTGGAAATTACATCACACAAAATCTAAGGTTTATGGTTATCACTGGCAAAATAAAAACCTATTCGCAGGCACATTTGTCACCCAAGATTAATTTTTTACATTAATTCTGCATCCAAAGACTTATAATCACCTTTTCTTTTATGCAGAGTAAAACAGCTTTCTCTTAGCCATTGATGCTATGACAAGAGTCCTCATCTCATTTGGTTGTACAACAAGCATATATTTCAGAAGTACTATTCTTTTCTTAAGCGTGAGATTACATGAGGATGAGACCACAGACGTTACAAAACTCGCTCCCTTTTGGTGGATCTGTCTTTTTCAGCCAGCCTGTTTTAATGCGAGAGAAAATAAACTTGTGGGACATAAAGTTTTAATGTTCTTCAAGAGTGGGCTTTGTGCGGTTTATGGGCACTGCAGTATATTGCACAACCTCATGGATGGCTGCAGCAGAGGCATGGGCACAGGGAGATGAATTGAGATGAGTTATATTAGCATGGCTGCGGCTCTGTGAATCGCTGGAGCAGTTGTGGGATTAGTTTCGACTCGGGGCGCAGAGAGGCAAAGCGAGAAATCACCACTGTTACCAGCTGCACAGACCATGCACAAAGACAACAGAGGCCCGAGGGCAGGGATGAGGTGAAGCACTGCATGGAGCTTTTCCCTTTGCAACTGTATTAAGTGATTTCACCACAGCCTGATCATTTATATCTTATCTCTGTGTATGTTGTTATTTTGAATCAGGATTTTGGCTTTGTGATGTAATGCCTTCATGCGCTAGCTGTACTGATCTATAATTTACAGTCACTTCCTCTCTTAATGATGCTTAAGGATGAGATTGATCTATTCAAGAATGATTTCAGTGTCTTCTGATTGATGCGTCTTCACATATTCAAAAATGACATCAACAGGAAAGTGCATTGTCATCATAAAAACGCTCTAAACCTATCCTTGAACTCACAATAATGGCAGAAAATGAGTTACTCTTCCAGCCTGAACTTTTCACTGACTGATTCATGGACAGAACTTTAAAAGCAATTTTAAAGGGATAGTTCACCCAGAAAATCCTGTCATCATTTACGCACACTCATGTTGTCCCAAATTGAGTGATTTTTTTTCTTCTTCTGTGGAACATAAGGGTATTTTGAGAAATGCCTTTTTTTTTTTACAATGGAAATGAGTGATCACATTCTTCAAACTGTCTTTGGAATGACATTAGGGAGAGTAAATGATGACAGAATTTTCATTTGCGTGTAAACTATCCCTAACCTTTGACCCTTCCTCATCATTCTATATGACTTTTTTCTTAATGTCATATGTTTTTCTCTTTCTGATAACCTAAATTCTACATGGCTGATGAAAGTGATAATGACCATTATGTAACTCTCTCAATACATAAAAAAAGAAGGAATTTAGAATTGTTATATCCTTTGCTTTGAAGTAAAATCCTTCTTTCCCTTTAATAATTCATGCATTAGAGGGTTAAATTGCATAAAATGAAACTCTTTAGCCAAAGGGTCTCAGCAGGGTGAGAAAGGGCCCTAACTATTCCCCACTTTACTCATACCCTTGTAAAAGATCCAGACCTACAGTGGGGCAAAAAAGTATTTAGTCAGCCACCAATTGTGCAAGTTCTCCCACTTAAAAAGATGAGAGAGGCCTGTAATTTTCATCATAGGTATACCTCAACTATGAGAGACAATATGAGAAAAAAAAATCCAGAAAATCACATTGTAGGATTTTTAAAGAATTAATTGGTAAATTCCTCGGTAAAATAAGTATTTGGTCACCTACAAACAAGCAAGATTTCTGGCTCTCACAGACCTGTAACTTCTTCTTTAAGAGGCTCCTCTGTCCTCCACTCGTTACCTGTATTAATGGCATCTGTTTGAACTCATTATCAGTATAAAAGACACCTGTCTGCCTTTTTTGAAAACATTATTTCCCAACTGACATCCTACTTTTAGTCTTTATTGTTTTGGACACAATGGTTTGCATGGATTGCCTTGTTTGAACACAATGAAAATTATGTAACTGTGACTTCAAAGAACAGAATTATACGGGGGATGGGTTCATCATTAGAGGGTCATCAAATACAATACCATTCAGATGTTTGGGGTCTGTAGGATTTTTTTAAAATAATTGATTAAAAGTGACAGTAAAGAAGAATTCTATTTGAAATTAATTCTGTTCTTTTGAACTTTCTATTCATCGAAGAATCCTAAAAAAATGTGATGCTATCCTGAAAATCTGTACAAAAATATTAAGCAGCACAACTATTCTCAACATTGATAAAAATAGGAAATATTTCTTGAACACCAAATCAGCAAATTAGAATTATTTCTAAAAGATCACGTGACGGTGAAGAGTAATAGCTGCTGAAAATCAGCTTTGTATCACAGGAATAAATTACATTTTAAAATATATTAAGCTAGAAAATTATTTTAAATTTGTAATAATATTTCATAATATTACTGTATTTACTATAATTTTGATCAAATAGAATGCATCTTGGTGAGCCTTCTTTTGAAAAAAATTTATAAATAAATATAAAAAATTAAAGTCTTACCGACCCTTAACGTTGAACGGTTGTGTTCTATTTTTATTTTTTTTAAAGCTCACTTTTTTAAAATCTTTTTTATCAGTTCATGCCACACGGAGCACGTGCCTTGAGCACGGACTGTATGACCCCTCATGGTACCATCTTACACCAGACGCTGGATTTCGACGAGTTCATCCCACCCATCCCCCCTCCTCCCTACTACCCCCCAGAGTACACCTGCACACCTGTGATGGAGGGCCAGAGGTAAAGCCGCACATACAGACACAGCTCACATCCCAGCTGATATGAAATAGCCTAATATTTGCACTATATCTGAGAAACCGTTTGATCCCAGATTGCTGTGCTCTGAGAAAAAGGTGCACTTGTAAATAAATTGATTTGCAGAGATTTGTGAAATTGCCCTATGGAATGATTATGTAAAACATCCATTCTTTTTTTTTAATGGGAATTTGGACCTATCCACTGCCATGTTGTTTAACTGCAGGTCTTAATGCAAACTGCTCTGACAATCCACATTATGGAGCACCAGTGTCCATGGCCTGGTGTAAATCCACCATTGATTTCTCTGTCTTGCACTGTGAGACACTCTGCCCACCATCCCATCATAAAAAACGTGCTGATGAGGCTGTTTAGCCCGCAGCCACACTAATGTGTCAACAAAGCAGTAAATACATAGAAAGCAAGAGCAGCCCAACATACACACTGGCTGCTTCAAAGCACAATCAAAGTCAGGATGTGGTAATACACAAAGAAACATGAAAAAACACAGATTCCTCCCCTCCTTTATGACAGAGGGAGTCTGGTTAATTAAAATAATGGGATATATAACTGGCTAAGATAGAGGAAATGGTTTCATTTTCCACAGTTCCTAAATGGCCTCACATTTTTTTTGCAGCTATCATCCTCACCAATATAATACAGCCAAATTTGTTGAAGCATTGATTCAGTGTTGTAATCATGTTTTACTATCATCTCTGTCCATTAGAGGGTTGCATCTGGACTTTCCACACTCTCCCTTCAGTGCTATTTATGGGGTGCCTATAAACAGCCCTGGGGCTTTATATCCATCTGAGCTGCCACCACCCTATGAATCTGTCGTGGGACAGACACCTGTCAGCCAGGTAAGAGCTGACTGTCAGTTCTGTGTCCCAGTTTCTCCCATGTTTTGATTGTTCATTGATTTCAGGTGTGTCCCAATTAGTTCCTTGTTATTCCTGTGTTTTCCTGAGTCCTTCGTCTTGTCTTAAACGTCAACTCCATGTGCAACGTGTGTGTTTCTACCTGTCCTGTGTTCCCCGTGGTTTGGATTAAATAAAACGTATTATTAGTAGACTAGTTATTCGGAAATCGAGGCCGTTCCCTTGTCAAGCATGCTGGCCATTCCACAGTCAAGCCTGCTGGCCAATTCACTCCCAAGCCCTCAGCTGACAGCAGCAGTCTCCTTCACCTCTGCTCATAAAAGGAGAATGCGGAGGAAGAGACTGTGGGCTCCAGCCCGAGTCCGCTCCAGTGTCGGCTCCAGCCCCTGAGTCCGCTCCTGAAAGGGCTCCAGTCCCCACGTCAAGCCCAGAGAGGGCTTCAGTTCCCACGTCAAGCCCAGGAAGTGCCACAGATCACGCGCCAGGCCCACGGAGGGGGCCGATATTTTCCCCAAGGATTTTTTTGGGGAGGGTTGTAGGGCTCCAGCCGTAGAGGCCGGGCTGAGTGCCGAGGCCAAGGCCACGGAGGCCGCTCCGCCATGGCCCCCTGAACTGTCTGCTCCACCATGGCCCCCTGAGTTCCCTGCTCCACCATGGCGCCCTGAACTGCCTGATCCGCCATGGGTCCCGGAATGGGTACTGCTCTGGAGGTCTGCCGTCCCGTTTAAGCCTGTCCCCAGAGCGCCCACCTCCCCTCCCCGTTGGATGTTGTGTGGCACGTGGAGGGAGTAATGTCAGTTCTGTGTCTTGTGTTTTGCTCCCCATGTGCTCCTCATTTCTCCCGTGTTTTTATTGTTCATTGATTTCAGGTGTGTCCCAATGAGTTCCTTGTTATTTAAGCCCTGTGAGTCCTTCGTCCTGTCTCTAACGGCCATCCCTTGTGCTACGTGTGTTTTCCTACCTGTGAGTCTTTATTTGGACAAATAAAGATTGTTTCCCATGATATTCTCCGTCGTCTCCGTGCTCCTTCGTTCCTCACAGTAGCAACCTTGACACTGACACCTTTTCTATATACTACTGTAATATTGCATGATGATTTGGCTATGTAGGGTCTAGTATTAAGTTGCATGACTATTTAATTTAAAACAATATCAGGTGATTTTTTTCAAATGCCCAAAGTGAGCATGTTTAAAGTCATTTTGGGGAGTCATTTGGGGAAACAGTTTCAATTAACCCTCCAAACAAAACTTTAAAATAAATTTTAATTCAGAAATGAAAACATGCTCATCATAAACGAGGTGTATTTAAGTCATTGTTTGGCACATTTTTGAATAAATGAATAGATGAGCATCACATCATTGATCCTTTTACTGTTTTGTTACAGTTCCTGTTTTTTTGTACATTGTACTAGTAGTTTGTGGGAATTTCAGTCTTAAAGTAATGCAGACTCTGTGTTAGCATACCACCAATTCAGCAATGTTCCTCCTCTTCAGTTACACTCATTTGTCTGTGTAAAGCTCGACAGTCAAAAGGTCCTTCAGTGCACTTGAGGGGCTGAAAAGAATTAATACAAGTGCCTTCGTATAATGGATTATAATTTTCTCTGGAACACATCAGCAATATAGGCAGGAATTTCATTCCATTTAAAAGAAATGGGCTTTCTTACAGTGAGAGCAGGGCCTGTTTTTGAACAATGATTTCCCATCAAATTTATCTTCTTCACCCGATTAAAGGGAACAAGAGCTCTCATCTTTGCAAAAAGATGCACAAAGAACCACCCAAACCTTTCAAATCCAGCGACTGAGCCCGATTTTTTTGAAGATTTGTTTGCTACCTAAAGGAGTTTGTGATTAAAAAAGGATAAAATCCAAAGAGGAAAATCCATGTGAAGCTGTTGATAACCATCTGCAAACAAAGCAGCAGGGGCATTTCAAACAGTAGAGCCGTTTCTTACCTGAAGCACAAGCCTGAGAAGATTTGAAAGCAGCAATACTAGAAAATATTTTTAAATTGATATAGTCAGCTTTATTTATAGCTACTGACTGTAGCCAGCTCATTTTCCACATTTTTATAAAGTCGATCTGTGCTGTGAAATAAGCTCTCTGTATACAGGATACATTCTCTGTATAGTCGTTTATGTGTTTTGGATCAATCATGTTATGAGGATTTTTTTTAATGGAAACCGCACAGTGTGCAGTCAAAGTTTAAAGTGCAAATGTGATCTTAGAGAGCCCCCTGCAGGTCACAATATGGCGCAGTCGCTTTAAAGCACTGCTGTGGTGCCAGATGTCAGGCTGCGGCAGACTCCTCAGTGCCAGATGTTCTGATGTCTGATTCTCCGCCTTTTGCAGTTGTTTGTTATCATCCTCAGGTGGAAGACCATTTTCGATCACCATCCTCTCCGGAAGGTTACACTCAAAAGCATTTCTAAACTGTTTATTGAGGTGTAACAATATATAACAGTGCAATACAACAATATTGTAGTTACATCTCTTTTACATATGAAAAACATTAACAAAAGACAACATAAAAAAGTAATACAACAGGTTATTTCTGATAGTAACAATAAGAGAAGTTAAAATATAAAACATGTATACAAGGCAATACAACAAATCATGTTTCAAAATGGTTAATTTAAGTAAAACTAAGAAAGGGGGATGGGAGCTTGTTAGAAATTGAATTCAAATGTCTCTCTCTCTCTCTCTCTCTCTCTCTCTCTCTCTCTCATCCAGATTACCACCAGTCTTGAGCAACAGGTCACAGAGTCCAGTCTGTGTGAAAGGAACACCACAGCTGGCCTTAGCACTCAGGGTGAGGAGGATGCCAATCATATTTGTTAACAAATACAAAGTCAGGTTTTTCCGTTCTGTAGTGCATGTAGATTGAAATACATTTTTTGTTAGAATCTATTCCTTCAACATTAGCATAATGTGTCTGTAATGTTTGATGGAATAATAGCATCAGGACCCAGGTTTTGCTATGGAAATAGATTTTACTTACTACCCTTCAAAAGTCTGGTGTCAGTAAGATGTTTTAATGTCTTTGAAAGAAGTATCTTATGCCTACCAAGACTGTGTTTATTTGATCAAAAATACAGTAAAACATTTGAAAAAACATAACAGAAACATCATTTGAAATATTATTACAATTTAAATTATTTGTCTTCTATTGTAATATATTTTCAAATGTAATTTATCACATGATCCTTCAGAAATCATTACTGACCCCAAACGTTTTGAACGGTTTATTTAAGATGTGACCCAACATAGTACTCATATGATTCAGCAAACATTGAAGTTTATTAATAATATCGTGAACTGCACAAGTCCAACTATATGCTAAATTCGTAACTTGAATTAAGGTGCGGTCACATTTGCTGTTGCTTGGTAAAAAAATTTGAGCAAAATCCAGTCATTCCAGTAGTAATCTGCACGATCAGCATGTTTCGCATGAGGGCGGAAAAGTTCATCACACATGTTCAAGTTGCTCACTGACCAACAGAAAGTTGCTTGGTTTAAAACTGACTTCTGTGTGAGCTGTGCTTTATACCTGTACACATCTATTGAATAATACAAATGGTATTGGCTAATGTGACTGAATAGGAAAATTGACAATTTTGTAAATGCACAAGTGAGATTAACTAGCCTAACAAATTGATTCATATTTAAACTGTAAGAATATTCCACAATATTACTGTATTTTTGAAAAATTAAATGCATCTTTTGTGAGCATACTGTAAGAGGCTTCTTTCAAAACATTACAAATCAGGCAGACTTCAAACTTTAGAATGGTAGTGTTGTTGCATTCAGACAAAACACTCATTTAACAAATTCAACAGCCTTCAGTCATTATAGGTATATGACAATAATATAGTCTTTGTTCCCATAGCCTCTGTTGATAGTGCTTCCCTTATGGTGTCTGAGACTGCAGACATCCCTGATCACAGCTGTTCCTCTGAAGACCTGTGTTCTCTAGAAGTACAAGGCTCTGATTCCTCTCCATATGGCACTTTACACATCGTGCCTACTGATGGTAGCTGCACAAGTCTGGATCACTCTCTGAGGCGGCAGACCCCTGCTCGACTGGACCACAGCGAGTCCTCTGTCATGCAGGATTCCAAGCCCCACTCTCCCCAGCTGTCACCCGATGCTGTTAACGTGCCTGAGAAGGAGGAGATTACAGGCCTTAAACCCACGTCTCGAATGCAGCACAGAGAACAAACCAATAAGAAGCTTACCCTTCTTTTCCCTCCAAGCACACCATCCCAATGTGCTTCCAACTCAGCAGTGACCTCCACTGCCGCCACAGCTTCTGCTCTGACCCCCTCCGCTTGCACCTCTCCGTCACCCACCGCTCAACTGCGGGGAACCCGGCTATGCTTCAGCGTCTGGTCCCCATCCTCCTCTTCCTCACAGCCCCATGCTACCTCTGCCCTCAGCAACCCTAGTCAACGTGAGCGGCCCCGCACACTCCGTGCCACTAAAGGGTATCGGAAGCTGGCGAGGATTGTGCGTTCCACTAGTGAACCCATATCCTGTAATTCCATATCTAGAAGTACGTGAGTCTTTTTTCTCTCTGTGGCTCTATAGGATTTTTTTTTTTTACTTCATTCATTCTAAACCCTAGGTTAACAGAATCCTAGCTTAGCCTTCTCTATGTTTCAAACTGTACATTTGTAAACCCCAAGTTAATACTCTTATTTGCCGGGCAGTATTATTGATCGGACGACCGCAATACACACACACCTGTGTGAATGGCGGCTTGTCTTACTCTTGCACATCAGTCGGGCTTGTATGGATTTATTAAATTGATCAAAAGTGACAGTAAAGACATTTATATTATAAATGATTTCAAATAAATGCTGATCTTTTGAACTTTTCTGAACTATTCTTTAAAGGATCTTGAAAAAAGTTTCCACAAGAATATTAAACAGTGGAACTGTTTTCAACATTTATAATAATTAGAAATGTTTCTATATTTGAAAATTATTTCTGAAGGATCATGTGATACTGAAGACTGAAGTAATAACTGCTAAAAAAAAAAATCAGCTTTGCCATCACAGAAATAAAAGTCGTTTTTTAATTTTTATTTCAATATTTCACAATATTACTGTTTTTACTCAGTGTACTCCTGACTGTATTTGACCTATGTAGACTTTTTGGACCATAATGGTACTTATGATTTGCTGAAACCATAAATACACAAATGCTAAAACAAAATGCAACACCCAAAAGTTTCCATGACTGAATAAGTGCATAAATATTTAATGAGGCAAGTGCTATTCAGTTTATTATTGGTTGGACTGGCCATTACATTCTAACACTATATAATTTCACACGGTACACCTTTTGCAATGCAGGCTTAATGCTACAAAAGTAGGACTGAAGCTTCTTCAGTTCATGGTTTCATAACTCTTTGCAAACTCAAAACTACAAGTGTTTTTATTTTTTAAATTTTGTTTTAATTAAAATATTTTGTTTAAAAATACAATAAACCAGATTAAGCTCATTTTGAAAGCCACATACACATGTAACTTGTTGAGTTTATATAATCTTAGCTTTGTTGTAGGTAGAGGAAAAATATGATCTTTGCAAAGCAGTCTCATATTAAATCCTTAATTACCCATAAGCCATCTTGACTTGACTTGCAGGTGAGCGTTGTGCTCCTGCTTCTAACCATCCACCTGAGGACTCCCCACAGACTCCCTGTGATCAAGGTTGCATGTCTTTTCTGTTTTCCATGTAACATAGTTATTCATCTCAAGTAAAATTATGGTTATTAGAATAAACATACCAATGCATTGCTTTTAACAGCATGTATAGAGCTCTCTGAGAGCACCCGACACCCTTCTGCCAAACAAAGCAGCCAAGGGGGCAAGAAGCAGAAGGACGGTGGAAAGGTGGACATCCAACTCAAACCTCACATCCCTCACTCAATGTCTACAGAACGGCCGCAGTCTCTCGCAGACCTCAAAACTTACAAAGACACCAAAGTGCTGGTGGCCAAGTTCCTGGAACACTCGAGCTGCAGTCTACCTCTGGAGGTCCAGCAGGTGGTCAACAGCATTAAATGTGTTATTAAATCTGATGAGAAACACATGGAGGAGGCCATTTTCAGTGCCAGTATCATTGATCAGGTGAATTGTGTATATTTTTTTGAGTAGAAAACATAGTATTCACCCTATGATCTGAAATGAATACATTTACACAGTTTCACTTATGCTTAGTTGAATGTGAAAAATCACAACTGAATTACATTGGGGATGTTTGTTTTTCTCATATTCTTCACATAGTTGATGACACAGTCACAGAAGACCATGGGCAGCCAGAGGAAGCATGCTCACGAAGACCTGCATTTACAGAGCTGTGGGGCTTTGAGTTCCCCATCTTCATCCTTGCGCCGTCCACCCAGAGGATCCAGTCAGACAGATGCCCCTGCTCCCCTGGATCATCAGCCTCAAAGCCTCATCAGTGTATGCAGAGAAACTACACTTTGACCCTCCAGACTACAAACACCCTTTTCCTCATAATCCTCTGAATATGTGCCAAGGCCAAGTCCTCATCAGCAGAAAACTGTAGCTCTTGAAAAACAAACAAACAAAAAAAACTGTGAGTTAACATGGAGTCGATGCTCTCTCTCATATGTTAAAAAAGATACTCAAAAAAATCAATAAAGAAACAAGTGTTTACCTTCACGGGTATATATTTTTATTTTATTGTCAGAAAAAAAGGTCAAATATTTGTTAAAGTGCTGAATTTGCTACTGTGCTAAATAGGTGATTGGGTCTGTAATGGACAATAGAAGGTGACAACATGGATTTACCTCGTCATGAAACCTTTTTTTTTTTAATGCACAGCTTCTGCAAACATTATGTGAAATATTGGACATGCTTGGTCATTGTGTGCCCCTGCAGGACAGAGACCTTTATGAAGCTGGATTATTCAATTTACCTCACTGTGTAATTATTTTCTGTGTTGCAAAATAAAAATGTGTCTGTTTGTATTTTTTCTGTTATAGATTACTATTTTAAGACACTCTGGTCATTGTTTGTTTGAGTGAGTTACATACTACTCTAACAGGGTCTTGAGTGTTTGTGTGTGCTTAGAATTTTTGTAACGGCCCCAAACAAAGAGCAGGCTTATTTCAGGTTTATCCTGCTTCAGTTAAAATCCTTGCTCGGCAGCATTTGCTCTGCTCAAAATCTTTGTGGCTTTTATTTGTTACACTACTTTTTAATTTGCAAGTGCAACTACTTGTTTAACTCATCTGTAGATAGGCATTTACTGTGGCTCTTACACTTTATAGCCTCAACTAGCTGATTTATTCATATCAACCTCAGGCATTAAATAAATGTATTTATTTGATATATTTTAAAAATCATCTACAGAAAAACGACATAATGAGCAACATCCCGGAATAGGTAGAGCAAATGCAACATTCTGGCTAATGAGAACGTTAAACTTCTTGTGCCCCACCGTCTCTTATTATTTGAGCGTCCAATTAAAATTGAGCGACAGAAGCAGTTACGCCCACAGCCAATCAGATGCGTCTAAAGTGTACTGTCGTATTCACGGATTGGTTGTTGTAGATGTCAATCACGTTCCTCTGTACACCTTACACGCTGGACGACGGTTTTGGCTTGTTTTTTTTTTTTTTTTACAGCCTATGCTTTTATCGAGACGTCCAACCTGGCAGTTAGGTATACAACAAGATAAGGACACGATTTCGGAATACGATGTTTTGCTGACGCGTTTATGTGCGTAAGTACAAATACACGGTGTTTGCGCATGCCTTCTGCAGGACCGAGAACAGAGGAGGAAGGCTGGAGTTGAGTTGCAGTATTAGCGAACTCTAAAGCTAGCGGTGTATGAATAGTCTACCCTGCATGGAATTGCATTCAGAGACGCGTTAAACGCATCTTTTCGGTTTGTTTATTCTGTGCTGTTTTAAATCAGGTGCACAACAATATGCACTGTAAAGCTGGCGGTGTCAGGTGTAACGCTAACGGTCGAATAGCCTATTAGTGCATTGTTGCTAATAGTAATAGATTTGTTTACATACTCAATTTCGAGTTGGTTTGTGTGTTTAGAAGAAATCAGTATCGCGTTGTTGAACTGAAGCTAACGCGCGGCTGTTACTCCACGCATGCTACTTTAGCGAGGTTATAGCTAACATAGCCTACAGCCGAACCGTGCATTCAGAAGTGTATTCATCACACGAGCAAGACGGCAGAGATGACCGTAACCGAATAAAATGCGTTATTGAGTGCTGTAGGATCAGGCGGAGGACGGAAAGCTCATGTCTGTGCGCCGTTAGCTCGCTTCAGCGCTCATAGGCCACGTCGCCTGTGTGTGTCGGTGTGTTTGATCTACTGACAGTGGCGTCGCGTGAATGCAAACAAGGTAAAGCTTGAAGTCGCCAACTGTGCGGAAGGGATACGGAGGAACCGTCAAAGTAGTTGTGTCACCAACTTCAGGACACTTCAAGGTTGCTGTAAGCCGAATGGGGAAGAACAGAAATCTTTCAAGATAGATAACTTAGCAGAGCAGTGGCCTCATCAGTAGTTTCTTGTTTTTACGTGCGGCTCTCACACAAAGCCAGAGTTCGTAATCTGTGCGCCTCTTCGATTACGCGATGATCGGCTTCGGCGCGAATCGACGTGGAGGTCGCCTCCCGTCCTTCATCCTGATTGTGTTATTGGTGATTATAGTCATTTTGTCGTTTAACTACTGGAGCGTGTCCACTAAGCACGGGCGGCTGCTGGACGAGCTGGCCGAGATACAGACGCAGGTGAAGCGCACGGACGCGGCGCGCTCGCGCCTGGAGAAGAGAAAGTCCGAGCTGATGGTGCAGGTGGACACGCACCGGAAACAGATCGACCAGAAGGACGGAGACTACAGCGTGCTGGAGAGCAAGCTGCAGGCCAAGGATGCGCTGGTCAAAGCCTGCACCGATGAGAAGGTGGGTGAGGGAAAAGGAACACGAGGGTTTCCTTTATAAATACATACACATCACTACTGTGCTGTATGAAGTGAACATGCATTCTAGATTTACCTTCTGTCTGTGTTTCCAGCCACTGTCATACCGTACATCTTTGCAAATGATTGTTTTGCTTGGCTAACGTTACTTTCTGACCGAACTGATCAGGGGTTTTCAAAAGTTACAGACCTCCCACCCAGACTCTCAGCCAACATGGGACCTTCAGTATGAAAGGCTAGATTTTCTCAGTAACACTTAATTACTTTAATTGACAACTTTCATTATGCCTTGTTTCAGGAAACATTCAGTTTTTCCGGAAGTATCGAATATATATGTTTCACTGACCAGGTTTTTTTCATACACCGTTAATTTAAAAGCAGATTACATACTTACTTTCTCTAAAGAAGCAGGCAGTTTGCTGATATTCACTGTTCCCTTTGTGTCTGTTCTACTAGTTGTGCCTGCAGATAAGGCAGTTTTCCTTTTGTGTGACGTGTTCAGTCAGCAGGTTGCGTGACAGACGGCGGCACTGACTTTTGCTGTGCTGCTTTACTTTCAGTGAAACAAGAATATATAAACAGGCTTCCCATGAAAATTCTGTCCACAAACTATATATGTAATGTAAAAATATGGGTTCACCTTTAAGATGTTTGTGATAAGTTGCTCTTTTTGAGTAAAAGATGAGTGTCTTGATATATTGTATATCCCCGCACCATTAACATCAGTACACTAAAAATGTGAGCCGACAGGACAGAGAGCATCCTGCCATGCTGCTCTTTATGGATTCAAGCCGTGGGCTTCCCTGTGGTTGTGTGACACAGCTGAGAGCTCATGGTCAGGGCCCATCTGTGTGCCCAGGGCTGTGAGAGCCCCCCTCCATGCTCCTTCACGTCTCCAGGTCTTCCTACACTGCCCTCTGTCTCTCTCTTTATTCTTGATATATCAACATAATTGTTGGGAATGTGGTGTTACTAAGGCTAAAAAGCAGTCATGATTGCTTATTTTGTTAATAACATTTAGGAGGAATATGTATTTTGAAAGTAATTTAAATGACATTCCATTTATTGCTCTATAGCACTCCTGTTTCCTCTCCATTGTCATTTTCAACCTATGATTTACAGTAAATGGATAAATTGCCTTGGTTATTGTGAGAAGAGGGTGATGTGGAAGATGTCACTTGCAGAAGCTCGATTTTGAGGCCCATTTCTGCCTAGGTTTTGTCTACCTGGAATGGGGTATATGAGCCTTGATATTCCATGTGCATTTGGATGCCCTGTACTTTTATAGATTGTTGCTGTGCTGCAGCAAATGTTTGGTCAAATTGCTCGCTCAGGCCCCTTTACAGATTATTACCCTTTCACATTCATTGCCTATAGCAGTACTTGTAAAATGTGTTCTTGTTTTAGGAGGTACCCTGAAGCTTTGCAACCTTGTACAGTCTGAATTAACTGAAAATGTTGATTTATAGCATGCGTCCTGCTGTTTTTAGCTTTCTTATAAGGCATGCTCATTTTTCTTTAGTTTGTTTAAAGTTCCCAGTCACACTTTAGTTTAGGGACCCATTCTCACTATTAACCTCAAACTAATTTGCTGCTTATTAATATTTAGTAAGGTAGTTGAAAAGTTTAGGATTAAGGGATCCAGACTAAGGATTAAGGTAGGGGTGTGCAATATGACGATTTTTGATCGTGGACGATAAAAATGTCTCTACGATCTGCTTTTGGAGAAATATCTTGGTATCGTGCTACAGCGCACATTCTATCAGCTGCAGTTCTGGTGCCTCCGGCTCAATATACTGTACAACGCCACATACATTTACATCAGTGTTAACTCTGCGGTAGAGTTACTCGGACAGGACACTGCACTTATTCACAATCACAAAAGTACATTATTTGCTTTAAAGCCTTGGCAGTTAAACATTTCATATGTTTGCTGTTCTGATGCGCTTTTCCAGTGCATACACCTGAAGCGCGTGCACACAAAAAATCTGTCAAATAGCGCCTAATTACTGAACTAAGTTATGTATTGCATCTGATTGCGCTAATACTGTCAAAAACACACAAGGTTTACATATAAACACAGTTGCTTATGTCTAAAGTGAAAGTAAACAATTGAGAGAAAAACGGATGCGTGCCTGTATATTGGATGCGTGCAGCTCTTAAAGGGACAGTACTAAACATGCTGCCACTTGTCATTAAAGGGATAGTTCACCCAAAAATTATAATTCTGTCATTATTTACTCATGTTCTCATGATATTTTGAGTAACCAAACAGTAGTTGGTCCCCATTGAATTTAATAATATAACATTCAACAGAAAAAAGAAACCCATTCAGGTTTAAAACAACCCGAGAGTGAGTAAATTATGGTATAAAAATAAAACACTATGACAGAATTGACAGACAGATGACAGAATTTTCATTTTTGGGTGAACTATTCTTTTAATGTTAATAAAACAAAACACAAAGAGAAAAATCACTCACTGCTCTTGACTGAAGAACTTTAATACAGTTGCTTTCATTAGACTCAGTGTGCAATTGATGTGTATATAGTGTTTCACTTTTTATATTTGTCAATTCAATACTGCTAAATACA